GAAACTTTCTGGAAGCCGATGGTCGCGCAGGGTTGCCTGAAAACCAGCGGTGGCCAAGACTACTGGGACATCCGTGGGCCAAATAGACACGCACACACAGACACACGTACCAAAGCCGTTCTTGTTGGCTTCTTGCTCTTTTGGTTTCCCTGGTACCTGGTATAAAATCATACCAGCGACCCTGAAGCTTGCCAACTTTGAAGTTTCTTGCCAACACGAAGCTGGCATGTGTTCATATCGGACTCACTCAGCAGGTAAGTTCACAAAACTGTTAGTATAAGTAGCCCTTCAGCTACCAAGTGCATTCTGATAGCCGTTACTTAGCCATTCGCCTGGAGATGTCTATAGACTCCTTCAGGCAGCCACCACTGTCTCCATCAGCTTTTCTCCTTGGGGCCTTGGGGAAAGGGAAGCCCTTCGGTTGTTTGGTTTAACATTTCTCAGGACGACGGTGCCGTTCTCCCAGAAGAGTACAAATCCGCAATTGCATGCTTCAAAAGAGGGACCCGCAAGCCTACAAAAGAACAAGCCCTAAACAACCTTTATAATCTTCATACAACTCTCATATCAGAAAAGAATCGAGTTCAGCCTCAATGACGGAAGAGGACATCTCGGACAAATCGTTGCTTCGGTCTGTGGTCCGTTCACGCGTGGATCCGCGGCAGCCACCCAATGTACAGGTCTTCTCAAACAGCGACTAGCCCCGAACTGAGCCAAAGTGAAATTCCTTAAAGGGGGTTATCTATGGGCATATGGGACTACTAGAGGGGATATCAAGGGGGATACTAGGAGTTAAGAGTATAGCTCAGCTGAAGATTTTGGGCTGGGCTGCTTGTATTGGGGGTTGCTAGGGCTTGCACGGGTTGTCAGGTATTTCAGGGTCGCGGCGGTATCTCTTCGTTTTTTGCTGTGTCTTTTCAGTTCCGTGAACCTAGGTGACTACACCTCTGACGAAAGTCCCAGGATACGCGAGCTGTCTGCAAGGACCAGAACATGACAAATACGTGCGAGAGTGTGCGAGCAGGAAAGAAAGGATGGGTTCCTGCCGAGTCATCCATCCACGTAAGAAACTGCAATAATATACTATAATATACTATAACATACTATAATGTACTATAATGTATTATAATGTACTATAATGTACTATAATGTATTATAATGTATTATAATACACTATAATGTATTACAATGTACTATAATGTATTATAATATACTATAATGTACTATAATGTACTATAATGTATTATACTGTACTATAATGTACTATAGTATACTATAATGTATTATAATGTACTATAATGTATTATAATGTACTATAATGTATTATAATATATTATAATGTACTATAATATACCATCTTGGAGAGAATTATGCCTTTGCGGCCCGAATCATTGGAGTTCCCCCTCCGCGATAGTCTTGGGCAAGGGGCTGAGTGGGAAGGATGAATGCAGACCATGCGGACTAGGTTTAGGGTTTAGGGTAGAGCGACATCACTATGACATGTACGGAGGAAGAAGGGCTTTCATGGATGTGCGCATAGAGCTTGTGTTGGTGGTGGCCTGACATGTCTCAAGACTGAAGTCTGTAATTTGCGTGGAAGACAGAACAGAAGAATTGAGAAGACCTGAGTACCATGCCTAAATCCTAAACCGCTAAACCCTAAACCCTAAACCTGATGGAAGTGAATCATGGAGGACTGGAATGCTTGGCCTTTTCTTGTCCACCGGTCTTGACCAGGCTCGGTGAAAGCAGAGAAATTACAGGATTACGGTCTTTGGTTTCAGGGGTTGAGGGTTTAGGGTTTGGGGCTTAGGGTTTAGGGGTGTAGATTTCCGGAAGTACCCAAAGGCTACTGAGTTTGCAAAGCTATAAGTGCTGTGAACCTGAAGTGTCGCTGCTTGACCGTATTGAGGGCCGGGTGCTTCCTGCCTCCTGGCATAAGGGCCAGTTCCTTTTGCTCGATCAGCGTTGAGTTGGAAATGTCAAGAATGAAGTTCAGGGTAGGGTGGCTTCGACCTTAGAGTCTTTGGAGGTTCTACATTTCTAAATTTTAGATGGGAAATCAGTAAGACTAACTTGTATGGTGTTCTCCCTTGGAAGCATTAGGGAGAAGTCATGTGTTTTAGTTGCACACCATGGCCAGCTGTCGTCCCAGAAGGGCAGCAACTTATTCGGGAGGATCTAATCAGAAGGTCACTCTCACAGGCTTGCGAAGGAGTGTGGGAGTTTAAAACTGCATTCTGCAGTGGAGCTTGCATGCTTTGCTAGCGTGGATGGACATGCTGGTTTTCTTTCGCGTAGTGGCAGGCCTAGCATGAGTTTCTATTCTGCGGCGGCTGTTACTGTGCAGGCAGGCTTCAGAGACCTGCAAAACTTGCAAACTAAAGAACTGAAGATCAGATACCTGCAGCCAATTTCCATATCTCACGGGTGGAGAATCCGTATCCCAGAATTTGCGTCGAAACTCCACGCTCCATAATCCCTTTCAATTTCTGTCAGGGTCCCTACAAAACCAAATTGAAGCCCGAAATCTCAACAAGGGATTCCTGTGTTCTCGGAAGCCGCCAAACCTCAGATCTTGCGCTCAGAATCCTTATCCAGATTGAACAATTGGGGAAAATATTTTGCCCAATTGTTTAAAAATATTTTCCCCAATTGTTTAGTATCCAGATTGAACAAGCCGCGCTGTCATCTTTCAACAGGAGATCGCTTTCGCCCCATGCGACTCGACTGAGCGTTTGGGCCTGCCATCGAGATACGAGCCAGGATGCACCCAGCTCCAGGAGGCCAGAAGCCAAATAGTGCTCCTAATAATAACAATAGTACTAATAATGACAACTTAATGTAATAATAATAATAGAAATAATGAGAACCGCAATAATACCAGCAAGAACAATAGTGCTAATCTTAGCAATACTAATGATGGCAATAATAATAGCAAAAAGCATACAAATATTAATAGCAGTAATGAGAGTTAGTGAGAGTGTAAGGGATTTCAACAGTACCTCCCTAAAGGTACCCGCCCCCCCCCCCCCC